CTTCTCTCTCTCGCTCCGCGCTCGCTGCCATCGATTCCTTCCCGGGGAAACGCGGCGCGTTCTTATAGCGGCTACGGGCAATTAATATTGCATTAACCCTATTTAAAAAAAAAAAAAAAAAAAAAGAAAGGAAAGAAAAAAAATAGAAATTCAGTTGTTGTAAGTACCTTTGTGTTTCACATCTGTGTTTCTATGGCATTCTTTTTGGGGTGGATGTAGAGGATGAACAAGAGCTGTCAAGTGCAGAAGAGGCATCAGTTTCCCAGAAGAAGAGGAAAAAAAGGAAGAGGGGCAGCCCAAGTGCTGATTCTGGAACAGCTGATGGAAATTGTGAGGAGGGAATAGCTGAAACATCTGGATCTAATGCTTCTAGTCAGGGAAAGGTGCCAGAAAATAACAAGGAAAGGAAGAAAAAGAAATTGCTAGTAAATGAGGCAAATGAGACCACAAACATAGTAACTGACACCAGAGAAAATCACGGTACCTCTGTGCAGAGCAGTCAAACAGCCGCAGAACAGAGTAAAAAGAGTCAGTTGAAGAAAATGAATCCAAAAGTGCAAAACGCTCCTGTAAAACCAACGTGTCAGAATGGACCAGCTAATGCCAGTGAGGCAGAGGATGTCAGCCCATCTGTCACAGCATTAACTCCTAGGGTCATGAGAAAGAAACAGAAAGCAGGGGCTGTCTTAGTGAATGGAGATACCCCTAAAAAAAAAAAAAAAAAAAAGAAAGGAGGGGGGGGGAAAGGAAGGGAAAAATGCGCACCCTCTCTCCGCGCTATCTATTATTAAGGCGGGTGTAATTGGAGAGCCGAGCCGTGCGTGTCGTGGGGCAAGGCGGGCAAACACGGGCGTGAGAGTGCGGCGGGGGGGGCCGGGGGGGGGTAATATTTAATTTCGGGGCTGGGGGTTTTCTAATTCGAGATTAAAAGCAGTCACGTCTTTGAAGCCAGACACTCGGTGTAAATGTACAGTTAAAATATTCTATTCCGCGGTCCCCAGACGGAGCTCTGCTACTCCCAGGCTTCATTAAATTTTAATTATCATCCCAGGCTGGAGCAAGGGAAGAGGGGGGAAGACTGTCCACCTAATTGCAATTGATAAAGGCAGAGAAGCCTAGATTATTTTTTTCTTTTTTCTTTTTTTTCTTTTTTCCCCTGGCCGTGCACGCACAGCAGTTTTTTTTCTCTTTTTTCTTTTCTCTCTTCTCTTTTCTCTCTTTTCTTTTCTTTTCTTTTCTTTTCTTTTCTTTTCTTTTCTTTTCTTTGGCAAACACGGGCGTGAGAGTGCGGCGGGGGGAGCCGGGGGGGGCTAATATTTAATTTCGGGTCTGTGGTTTTTCTAATTCGAGATTAAAAGCAGTCACGTCTTTGAAGCCAGACACTCGGTGTAAATGTACAGTTAAAATATTCTATTCCGCGGTCCCCAGACGGAGCTCTGCTACTCCCAGGCTTCATTAAATTTTAATTATCATCCCAGGCTGGAGCAAGGGAAGAGGGGGGAAGACTGTCCACCTAATTGCAATTGATAAAGGCAGAGAAGCCTAGATTATTTTTTTCTTTTTTCTTTTTTTTCTTTTTTCCCCTGGCCGTGCACGCACAGCAGTTTGTTGTTGTTTTTGTTGTTGTTGTTTTTAATGCGGGCAAAGCCCTGCGAGGGCAGCGTGGGGGGGTTCTCCGCCTATAGATCCGCTCTTTATTAAAGATACACGTGAAGGAAAAGCCGGGAAGTGATGTTATGGATGGGTTTTGGGGGGTTGGAGGGTTTTGATTTTTTTTGGGGGGGGGAGGGACGGACGGTAGCTCTTGGAGAAATCTGGCGAAAGATCAAGGGAAGGGACCGGGGACCCTCATTAGGGCTCGGCAGTTTATTGTCTCCCAAAACAAAGGGCGCCAAAGGAGAGGGGGTGCCCGGTGCCCACCCGGGGTCCGCCGGAGCCTCTGTGTGTGTGTGTGTTTGTGTGTCCCCGGCCCAGCTCTTCCGTCCCTTTTTTATTCGTTTATTAATAACCCCGCACGCGTGGGACAAGGGGAGAAGGTGGACTAATTGCTGCGGGGTTTTAATTTTGCGAGGGGGAAGGAGAGAGCAGTCTATCTGCAGGCAGTAAAAAAAAAATAATAATAAAAAAATTAATAATAATAATAATAATAAAAAAAAATTAAAACCCCACCGCGTTGGCTTTCTAAGCAGCTTCCTATTATCACATCGCCACTTAATTTTATTTCCATTCTCTCCAAGTTAAATAGAGAGCCGGGCTCACAGGGGAGCTGCCATGTGCCTGCAGACTGGGGATGTCAAGCAGAGAGACTCACTGTGCAAAGTTAATTTCAATTCCCGAGGAGGATTTTCACATTCTCGCTCGCTCTGACCCCCAGTAATTAGCTGAGATAACTAATGATTACTTACTTATTCCTTGTAATTATCTGGATTTAATAATTCGCTGTGTAATTTATTAATTCGCCCCCTAATAGCCTTTAAGTGAATGGCTCATTTGAAGAGGGCGAAGAGGCGGTTCGGGGGGCTGCTGGCTGCCTGCGCCCCATGGCAGGGTTTTTTTGGGGGGGGGGG